TATATATATATATATATATATATATATATATATATATATATATATATATATATATAAATGAAAGAAGTGAGAAAGAATTTGACTCGTTACATATGGGAGAGATTTCTGGTATCAAAGCAGATGTGAAGAAAGACAAAAAGAACTACAAAACCTTGATATTGCACATTTTAAGTTATGATAACTTACAGTCATCAAAATGTGTGGTACTCTTAAGAAATTGTATATACAATTATGCAATTATGTATATATAATTATATATATATATATATATATATATATATATATATATATATTATAATTCTGTTATTATATAACTTCCAGAACTAGGCGTATTAGGTTATTAAGTGAAATATCACATGATTGATACAGTAGACAAATGTTTTATTGGATCAGAAAATGTATGTACATATACTGAAATAATGACGCTCCAACAGCAACAGATTTTCTAACAAATTAGGTCTCCTTGAGTCACAAATATGTAAATTTTAATTGCTTGTAGGACTTTGCATATATCTCTCTGCTGCGCATAAATTCTTGTAATATTCAAGGAACGATTTGTAGCACTTACAAAATTGAGAACATAACTTAAAGTTGATCGGTAACTTAAACTTCTACTTTAGCTAATATATCCGATTCACGGAACAGATGATATTCCTTGTTGTCTTCAAGTTCAACTTTCGTGCCACCATATTCAGGGAGTAAAACAACATCTCCGATTTTAATGCTCAAAGGCACGTGCTCTCCATTCTGATGAAAGAAAAATTATGAAATTATTAGCAAATATCATGGATAAGATTTAAAGAAACATCTTAAATATCTTAGAAACATTCTAAAGAATCTGAATATGCAGAAATACTTTAAATCATCTGAAATATATAATATGCATACGTTATTCCTTGATCCAGGTCCTATCGCCACAACTGTGCCACGCAGTACTTTTGCTTGTGCTTTCTCTGGAAGTACAATGCCACCTTTTGTCTTAGTTATTGCCTCAGCTCTTTGAATAAGGACTCTGTCAAAGAGAGGAATGAGCCTCTTTACAGCATTAGCAGCAGCCTGAAAGTACAGGTATAAATATGTGATTGGTTATAACCTTTGTAAGAATTTTTAATTTGAAATATAAGTCTTGACTGTAACAATAGTTATTTAATTTTCATGACTTGTCCGAATGTCATCATTAGACTCATTAGACATAGACTTTCTACCTAAATCTTAATTCTTTTTCTACCTTTGCAATTATACATATTATTATACATATAATTATACATTTATTATAATATACGTGAAACAATACAAAAATGTTCAGAAAAGCCGAGAGATCTTGAGGGTGACGCAAATCGTCTGCGAAATTGCAAACGACCGTAAGATACCTGCAACTCCTGCATTTTCGCGATCACTTCTTCTCGCAACTAAGATTTGATTATCACTGCTATAAACGACAAGGGTGTGATTGCAATCGTGATATTGAATCTCGGATACGAATGCGTAAACAATGTTATAAACAAATGCAATTTGCACGCAAACGATTGCGACGCAACAAAAGACAACGACTTCTCCGACTCAAGCCATACTTTCGGAGAAAAGAACGCGAGATAGAGTGCCTTCGACTGAATGCGATACGTTTAAAGGTTATCTAAAGAAGCGACTTTACGAGTTTTTCGAATGGCAAACAAGTTCTCTGACTATCATGTTCACAAATGAGCTGATAAATATGTGCCTCACCATAATTGCGGTCTCTTTGCAATGAAAAGCGCGTGGGAAACCGGCGAGGACCCGCTCGAGAATTCGTGCACGTCGTTGTGTAACCTAAAGTCGCGGCCGGCTGGAACGGAATAGAGTGCGCAGCGATATTCTCGAAGTTTCCTGCAATCGCGCTGATCCCACCACCTACTGCCACCACCAGCTCCTCGTGTATGTTCATCGATCATTCAACATGGCTGCGAACGAGAGATCGTCAAGTTACGTAACTGCATCTAATAAATTCCCGTAAGGGCGAATGTTTTCCGATCGATTTATCTCTCACAAAAGATGCCTTTTGTATGATGAAATCAGCGTGAATTAGCGGCGATTTCGAGGCACCCGTTATGTAATACGTTTGCTTTGAATTATCGCGAACAAGCGCAGAAATCGCTGTTACTGACTTGTCGAGCGATAAATATCAAAGTAAACAGAATATGTATTTTCCCCGTGCAACCAGTGAGGGTTCGACTTTTATTCCACGGATTCGCTGTTTCACGACACTCACTCACGTAATTTATGGCGGGAGATAATGGGAAATTAGATAAATATAAGTGAGATAAGAAGCCCCGTATCTTTTTGCTTCGTACATGTCAAATAAAATCCTTGTGCTACGTACGATGTATTTCAAGAGTCTATGTCGATTTTATGCTGACCCAGATTTTGATGGCATTGTCACGCGAAAACGATCCTTATATTCGCGACGAGGACCTGACATTCGCGCATGATAAAGTTCCTTCTCGTTAATCTATTTACGACATTGAGAACGAGTAAGGACGAAAATCATATTTCATCTTAGATTTCGATGACATTAACAAATACATCTGATATTTGCAATAACAGCATATTTTTAACCTCCCACCTGCTTCGTAGATCATCTTGGAAACAATCAAAATTTTGTCTTATGAATTTTGCTAAAGAAAAAAGTTATAGACATGAGGTCCAACAATGCTCTGACTAGGAAATAGAGACCTAACGTGACAAAAATTTTTGACTACGATTTGTCTTATTCACACATAGGGAGAAAGAATAAATGTGTACTGTACACGAAGCAGATCGTAAAAAAAAATAGGGAAGTAGATAGAGGGTTAAGACGACGGGAAAAGGAACATGCGAAGATGACTACCGTCGGACGGTCGATTGCGTCACGCGGGATGATCGTACTTTCTAGAATCACGCCACGCGGTCAGTTGGCTCGATGCAGCGAGCGCGATATTTGCCGTTGCGAGTTTAACATTTCCGTCGGACTGCTGAGGAAATCGCTCACAGTGGCTTCCGCCTTTGATATTTCTCACATACGACGTCACATTAATTGCCAAATGTTCAATTCTTTTGCTAATTGATCCGTGTGGTTAGGTTCGTTCGCCGGATCAAAGAGGGGGGGGGGAAGCATATGATAGCGCACGCTCTTCTCCGCGCTCCTTTTTATTCCACTCGTGCGCTGTTCGCGAGGAGACAACGTGCGGTCACGCCGATCTTCAATTTGCTCGCTTTCGACAGCATTCCTCGATCATCCTATTGTATACTTCTAAGGAATCCCGCAAAGAATTCAAGGTAAAAACGATCGTGAAATCGCGAAGCGTTTACCGATCGCGGTTGCGAAAGTCTCGCGGATACGACTCGACGAAATTCGCCGGCCGGACTGATTGCGTTGTGGCGAATTCACGCCAGAAATCCACTGAATCGACGTTCCTCGTGAACGACGAAGAGATGAGCAAACGTTCGCTTCAAGTGCGACCAAATGCACGATCGATCGTTGATCAAGCACTTTTCAGTCTAGTGCCGCGGTAATTTCGTCATTCGCCACAGTTAACCTCCAATCGAAACCGCAATCCGCGCGGGAGTTTACATAACCGCATTTCTATGCCGTGGGAGAATGGTGGACGATGCGATGGATAAATTAATCGTTGGCTTTCGATCATTTGCGCGTTAACTATTCCTTTATTCGCGAAATGTATAATCGCAAGCTTTTGTAACACGAAATTCTTTCAATGACGCGCACTTTTGACTACGTAGCGACTACGTTTTGAGAACATTTCATTGAGATAAGATCGTTTATTTAAATTTAAACACCGGCATTTAAGGGACTCAACGATTCAAGACTATTAATTAGAGACATTCATATTTTTGCAAAATTTATTCATCACAGAAAAGCTGAAATTTATTACTTTACTGTCTCAATACTTTGGAAACACACATTTATTTTTAATTATATATTAATATTTCAATAAGATCTAAATTCGAGGTTTTAACTAATATGCATTAATCTCTCTTACACAGATGCACAGATTACCTACAATATTGAGAGGAACAGCCGTGCGCCAGTTGCAGGCACGTACTTATGCTAAAGATGTACGTTTTGGGGCAGAGGTTCGTGCCTTGATGTTGCAGGGTGTAGATATATTGGCAGATGCTGTCGCTGTGACGATGGGCCCCAAAGGACGTAATGTCATCTTGGAGCAAAGCTGGGGCAGTCCAAAGATTACCAAGGATGGTGTGACTGTAGCGAAAGGTATCGAACTGAAAGACAAATTCCAGAATATCGGAGCCAAACTAGTACAAGATGTAGCTAACAACACCAATGAAGAAGCTGGAGATGGTACTACCACTGCAACCATATTGGCCAGAGCGATAGCCAAAGAGGGTTTTGAGAAGATCAGCAAAGGCGCAAACCCTATAGAGATCAGGCGCGGTAGGTTTCATTTATTTATGGACAGTATTCATACACAGTTTCTTGTAAATAGAATTTTTATGTACCTTGTACACAGTGTCTCAGGAAACATTAAATTTTGACTTGCACTGTGAGGTACATTCAAGATCGACTTAAGTTTTAAGCATAAGTTGCCGTAAGCAACTATATCTGTTTATATAGAACAGTATTAATAGATTCAGCGCCATAACGATCACCAGTGTCTGACATTAAACTTTCTGTTTACATTTTATCAGTCACTGGTGATGAATGTGTCAAAATATGTATAATATGCAATTACGTACATTTATGAGATTAAAATCATGCTTAATAATAATAAAAGGGTATAATCAACAAAATGCATTGGTATATATAAACAAATTAATATTTATTAAGATTTTAAGAATAATTATGTTACACACACACACACACACACACACACACACACACACATATATATATATAGGTGAATATTATTAAAATATGATAAATAATAATGAGGTTTTACCTTTACAATTTTCAAAAAATGTTATGATCTTTTCTGTATATTTTTTTTGCAATTTTTCGGCCAAATTACATTTGTTTCATGACATTTTTTACATTGTTGTCTTATTCCTATCGTATGTTTGCCATACATTCTTATTTTTGTTTTGTATTTCATGGCGCATTATAGGTAAAGATGTACTATTATCGTCATCTGGATGTGTAGCTAAATGTATAATTAATTCTTTTCGGAATTAAAAAATTGACATACAAGTTTCTCTTATACTATTATGTGATCGTCTCGGCGTAAATAAGCGCTATTAGATATTACTCACGCTTGCAACAGTTACTGATGGGTGTGACAATCGAATACGTCACATATATTTTTGTGTAATTTAATATTGTGTAATATTGTATAATTTATTTATATATTTCATTCCTTTTCTAATATAAAATAATTTGCGTGAATGAAAAGTCGGCTGATAAACGCTTGGTGCTGAATGTGTTAAAAGATTTGCGACTATTTTCAGGCGTAATGCTGGCGGTGGAGAAGATCAAGGACGAGTTGAAAACACTGAGCAAACCCGTCACGACGCCCGAGGAGATCGCACAAGTGGCGACGATATCCGCCAATGGCGACAAAGCCATCGGTAATTTGATCTCTGATGCCATGAAGAAAGTCGGAAAGGAAGGTGTGATCACGGTGAAGGACGGCAAAACGCTCATCGACGAGTTAGAGGTCATAGAGGGCATGAAGTTCGATCGTGGCTATATTTCGCCATATTTCATAAACTCTAGTAAAGGTGCCAAAGTCGAGTTCCAAGATGCACTGCTTCTCTTCAGCGAGAAAAAGATCTCGTCCGTGCAGAGCATTATTCCCGCTTTGGAGCTGGCCAACGCGCAACGCAAACCCCTCGTCATAATCGCCGAGGATGTGGACGGCGAAGCCTTGTCCACGCTGGTTGTCAATCGTCTGAAGATCGGACTGCAGGTAGCTGCGGTTAAGGCTCCTGGTTTCGGCGACAACAGGAAAGCCACTCTTCAGGACATGGCAATATCCACCGGTGGCATCGTCTTCGGCGACGACGCCAACCTCGTCAAACTGGAAGACGTCCAGGTAAAATATAGTTATCAATCAGTGTTAATATAATCAATAACGTTTGATCAATAAACTAGCTAAGTGTATCCTCTACTCCAGGCGAGCGATTTGGGGCAAGTGGGAGAAGTCATCATTACAAAGGACGACACTCTCTTCTTGAAGGGTAAGGGAAAGAAGACTGACATCGACAGAAGAGCTGATCAAATCAGAGATCAAATCGAGAACACGACGTCCGACTACGAGAAGGAGAAACTACAAGAACGTCTGGCGAGGTTAGCGTCCGGAGTGGCGGTCCTCAGGGTCGGCGGTAGTAGTGAAGTGGAAGTGAACGAAAAGAAGGACCGCGTGCACGACGCTCTCAACGCCACTCGCGCCGCCGTCGAAGAAGGCATCGTGCCTGGAGGTAAATCTCGATCTTATATATTTAATTACTAAAAAACTCTCATTTTCATAATAATAGTAACTGTTTCTCCGAAACGAAGGTGGCACCGCTCTCTTGAGATGCATGCCATCGTTACAACAGCTAAAGGCGGTCAACTCTGATCAGAAGACCGGAATCAAGATTGTGGCGAATGCATTACGTATACCATGCCTGCAAATCGCGCAGAACGCTGGTGTCGACGCCAGTCTTGTAGTAGCTAAAGTGTGCGAAGGCAAGCTCGGCTACGATGCGCTCAACGACGAATACGTCGATATGATCGAGAAGGGTATCATCGATCCCACAAAGGTTGTGCGTACAGCACTCACCGACGCGGCGGGCGTCGCATCGTTGCTCACAACGGCCGAAGCAGTAGTCACGGAAATGCCGAAAGAGGAATCGCAGCCACCGATGGGTGGCATGGGTGGTATGGGAGGTATGGGTGGCATGGGTGGTATGGGCATGTAAAACCGTAAAAAGACACACTATAGCAGCGCAAAGACTGAAAAAAAAAGATGATTACGCTGTGCAACGTTGTTTCGAAAAGAAACAAGAAGAAAAACAAAACGCCGAGCAATATTGTTTCGTTCTAATGGAGATCGAATTCCCACAAACAGTACTTTGTACTTGGAAACATTACAAACAGGCGATAACAAAGAGACATGCGCGCGACACATGTAGTAGCATGTGCCAGTCGTTACGAGACATCGTTCTCATGTTTATTTTGTTCTATAAATTCGCAGCATTGTTATATACAACGTCACGCAGCCAATTTATCATTTTCTTATTTGGAAAATATATAAATATAAGTATGTGTAGTGCGCGTACACCGATGTTTCGACTAAGAGATGCATTTAATGTGTATAAGAACGCATTGTCGCGCGAAATGAACTTGTTCATATGTTTATACAGGTAGAGTTACAGCGTGTGTAATTAACCAATTACAGTAATGATTTCTAAATAAATTTCAATTATTTTATCTCTCTGTCGTCTCGTTCTTTCCCTGATATCTATATTTATAAATTTGAAGTTGCGAACAACGAATGATGTGAAATGACGGAAAACCAAGGAGAGAGCGAAAACTTAAGTAAATATATAAATACAAAAATAAGTACGCATCTCGCGCGGTGGGAAGTTAATCACATTTTAAATTCTTTGTAATTTTATAATTATGAAGTTCATTTTTCGTTTGGACAAATGTGTGTTTAAATTACAATTCCTCTTTGTATTTCATATTGATCTTACGAATTAAATTATGGTAAGTGAGAAAATAATGAAACTGATATTTAATGAGTAGAAATTTTATTCATAATATAGAGTATATATATATATATAAATATTCTTGTGTGTGTATTACGTTATTCACTATCCGTTAAAAAGAACACTTAATAATCTTAATAATATATATGTAACAAATCAAAGCGAGAAATATGAAGATATAAATTCGTCATGTCGTTATCAGTATACAGAGTATAGTAATAACGACTACAAAATAAAAAATATATCACCATCATTAGCTACAGCATGGCCTACCTGAATATGATCATCTTAAATATCTGTCGGCATTTATATTTTCAGAATATTATGCTCATCGATTATTTTAATGTATTATTATTTCCTGAAACCATAAACATTCCAAGATATTTGGGTTGATCAAATCATTCGGGTGGGAACTTTCACGTAGATATTTTTATAACAATTACGGCCTATTTAAATAAAAAAGAAAAATAACGCGATAAACACAAATATGAAATTACGAGGATGAATGCAGTAGGGAAGTAGTCGCTGTATTTTATATCTTCACGTGTATATCTCAAAATTCCTATTAATATATAGAAACCCAAAGTATCCTACTTAAAGTCTTAATATAATTCGCCGTATTACTTATTTTACACAATACTAAGAGCGTGTCATAAATTACATAAACGGAAGAAGCACTTAAATATAGTTTACCGAGCAAAGAACTAAGTTTCAAACGTATGTAAAAATCAGTCTGTCCTACATACGTGTGCGCGAGATCGCGACATACGTGTACATATACAAAAATATTTCTCGACCTATGTCCTTCCCTTATCCTTACAGTACCTGTCGCCCAATTTTCGTACTTCGATCCAATCGAAATGTACAAGTGTAGCCTTGAGAGATAGAGAAAGTGAGTAGGAGTGTAAAAGAGAAAGTGAGAAAGAACAAGAAACGGTTTTCTAGTGTAGCGTTGTTAGGAAAGAAATATCTCATTTCATATTCAAAATACAAAGAAGTCCGTTTTAAAAAATATCGCATTAAGCTTATACGTTATATTTATTGTAAAAAGCACATTTCCTATTTCGCTAAGTGTATTAATCTAAGCGCCTATCTTTTCAATTTCATCTGCGTCTTCCGCGTCGAGGTAGTGAATCTTTTTGCCGAAGTGTTTCTCTATATCTTTACAAAGTTGCATCGCATGTGGTGAGTCTATCAAATTAATAGCAATGCCCGACTTGCCAAACCGTCCAGTTCGTCCGATTCTGTGTAAATAGGTCTCACAGTCGGCTTGTCGTTTCTGATCCATTGGCAAGTCGAAATTGACCACTATCGTCACCTGTTCTACGTCGATACCTATGAATTCGAATTATTATAATTAATGAAGCTTCGTTATCGCGTCCGTAGTTCTCTTATAAGACTAACAATTCTACGTACTCTACAAATAGGTAACGATATATTAAACCTTGCATATTTACCTCTGGCTAAGACATTCGTAGTAATAAGGACTTTCTCGAGTCCTGCTCTAAATCTATCTAGTACGGAAATTCTTTGCTCCACCGTTAAATCACCAGATAGTATCGCTACCGCGTGCCCATCTTTCGTCATTTTTTCGGCCAACCAACTGGCTGTCCTCTTCGTCTGAGGAACATAACATCATGTCAATTTTTATTGCAATGAAGTTGTTTAGAATTAATTTTGACAATAACGTCTGAGTCCTCTTACGTGACAGAAGATGATCGCCTGCCCGATCGTGATCACGCCGTAGATGTTTGTAATCGCCATGTATTTCTCGTCTACATTTTTACATTTGATGTAGTATTGCTTAATGTTGTCTAAACTCTCTTCCTCCCTTAATAATCGTATTATCAACGGATTACTAACTATAATCTCCGCAAAATTCATGACTTCCGGTTCGTACGTCGCCGAAAAGAACATCATCTGGCATGTGCGCGATAGCATTCTATAAATGAAATGCACAGCACATAACAACCATTCGTGCTAGAAAACTAACATAAATATACTATTTGCAGAACTTAGAAGTCTTTGCGAAATTACTTGTGAATACGAATACACTGATCTTGATGACCCTGCGTAGCAATCATGACATCAGCCTCGTCTAACACAAACACCGATATTTTGCTGAGATCAAAGAATTTAAATTTCTGCCCCCAATCCGTCACTTTGCCTGGAGTTCCTATGATTATATGCTCCGTAATTTTCGATCCACGGCTTACTGAAAACAAAATAACATCATTTATACGTACGTGAGATGGTAATAAGTGATACAAATTGTATAAAAGACCGAACGATAGATTACTTTCTTCTCCTCTCACAGCGTATTTTATTTTTATTTCAGGACAATAGCGCGACATCTTTGCCGCCACTTCACCAGTCTGGATTGCTAATTCGTAAGTTGGCGATAAACAAAGTACTTGCGGGTAATTCTTTGTAGTGTCCACTCGACTCAGCATGGCTAATACAAATGCCGCAGTCTTACCAGTACCCGACTGAGACTGTGCTATCATATTCTGTGGACTGAAATAATATTTGTAAAAATTTAAAGAATACAATAAAACTAAGACAAAATATTAAGGATAATTGATTTATACTTACGGATCTGCAAGTAATGTAGGTAAAGCAGTTTCCTGAATTCTTGAAGGAGCATTAAAGCCCATAGCATAGACACCTTTCAGTAACGCAGGTTTACTGTAGAAAATATAAACTTATAAATATATAATCAATATAATATGCTTAATCCTATATTTCTATATTCTATACTTCATTAGTATAACATTAATATATCAGTAGTGATGTAAAACTAAAAATTATTAATTACTAACAGATGAAGTGCATCAAATGATTTCACGCTGTATAGAGGAGAATTTGGATCTTTCCTTTGAATCTCCACATCCTTTGTCGTCTCAACTAATCCTTTCCTTATAATTTTTTGTAGAAGTGATTTTTCTGCCAGTGATATCTGTTCTTCTGAACCATCATCACTTTTGGAATCTCCATCTTTTATGGAGTTTGGCTTATCTAAATTTAAATTTGTCACCTGTATGATATAGAGTGCAATTAGTGAATATTTAAAGCCTTCATCATCGGTAATTATATAAAATTTAGTCCAAATCAGTCAAAGGAGATTAGAAGTTGATAGGAAACATACAAACAGATATTCTATTGTATATATTTTTTCTTTTTCCTTTATAGAGTTTAAAAGTTCCTTTAAAAGTTTTCCTTTATAGAATATATATAAATAAATCTATATATATATATATATATATATATATATATATATATATATATATATATATAT